TTCAAATTAAGACTGGACATGACTCTGCACGACACACTCGCACCTCGGCATGTTGTTAAAATGGCGGTGTAGTGGAAGGCGTCCAGTCGGCCACAGTGACTCTGAAAAGTCTTGATCGCTGCCTCAGAGGTGCTTTGACCGAATAGTTCTGAAGCTGGCATCAACCGCATCATCTGCATCTCATCGAATAGGGGTAGACCCGCATGGGCAAACAAGCTGCAAGCCCGCGCTGCAACTGCTTGCTCCTCGTCAATGCGGAGTACCACCACGCTCAAGCATGCCGTGCTACGATCGAGTCCCACCTTCGCAGCTCTTCCATAAGAGCCAGTGCTGCTGGCTTTTCCATAGCGCTGGCCTGAAACAGCATGTTGTTGCAAACGTCCGGCCACCCTGTGCTCCTAGGTGAGGCCGATCGGCAGCAACATCTCTCGCTGTACCAGCCTTGGCACATCCTTCTCTGACTTGCAGGCTCGAGAGGCTCGCAGTTGGCGCGCAGGGCGCTGCAGGGGAAGGCCTGTGGCAGGAGACGAACACATACGCATGATCGGAAAATTAGCGTAAAAGCGAAGATTTTAATGACTGGAGCATGTGCACCACATGTTTGTTGCTAGAGCGCTCTCCGTCTAGTCAATTAATCCACACCATGTCCACCCACCATGCCACTTGATCATATGAACACGGGAAGTGGCGACATCATTACTCTAAGCAAAGCCAAGCCGTTTGGTGGACTCACGGTCCGCACTCACCATGCTCTGAGTTGACAGAGACAAATCAAAACCAAGCAAGAGCGAGTCAACACTAGCCTGTTGATACGGCCCCGCGGCATTCATAGCAGGAGCTACAGCGTCTCCTGGCCAGAGTAGCTCAGAACAACATGACTTTCAAAGAGCAAAGCCTGAGCCATCTACAAAGCACATTTGGCAAAGAAAGGCTGCGACGTGTTGGCCGAAAAGAGACCGCACTCTGCCCAGACAGCGCAGAGAATCATTGAACTTGCACGGAGCTTGAAGGCTGGACTGCAACTTGCTAACTGGTGCCCAAGAAATGAGCCGTGTCTATTATGTGACGCAATTGCGCATGACTCTGCAGTTGACATTGGATGGCTGAGGCTTTCTGACTCAGCTCTCAAGTCGATTCTTCCTGTGAGCAATGAAGCCCCGTCTGCACAGTCGACAGCTTGTTGCAACATCGAGCTATGTGGTCACTACAGCCAGTCAAAGGCAAAGCCTGCTTCGATCATTGCGCACAGGAAGCAGGGCGCAAAAGATCCACCTGATTTCAGTGCATCTGCTGCTGGTTGGGCTTCATGTTCTTGACCTCCGTCTCTTTGTAAACCTGTGTCATGTAGCAGATGCTGCAGCAAATGGAGCAGCAAACAGCTTTCAAGCATCCCTCATCGATGTTTGCCCGTTGCGCCACAGTTGTAGCCAGGTACGGGAGGCAGCATGGTTCTGCAAGGCACCCACAGAAACAGCCACCAATGAAGCCACAGGGCCCTCCAACTCTCTCATTGATATCGCCCAGAATCGTGCAGGGACAAAAGGAAGCCCGCACGCAAAGGCAGCAGCCACCTGGCTGCCCACAGCAATCACAGAGCCCAGTAGACCAACTTGCCATGGCGTCTATAAGATGCTCCAAGATTTGTACCTGGATGCTTCTTGTCTCAGCCAACTGAAGAGATGCCAGGAAGAATGTGAACGCAGGTGTCAACAAAAATTTGACGCAGCTAAGTGTAGTTGTAGATGTTGCCGGTAGCTGCTGAGATTGGATGGACAGGGTATGATTGAAAATGAAAGACAAATGTAAGGTAATGCTGATGCTGAAACAATGGAAAGGCAGGCGAGTGTGAGGATAATGAATTGCGAAATGTTGTTCAGGAGGATGGGTGATGATAGGTAATGGTTTCATGAGCCGGCCAAGCTGATGATGATGATGATGATGATGATAACGATAACGACGATGGACCTTATCATTGTGGCGGGGGTGATCAGCACATGTAAATCAGGAAAAGCGATGATATGTTGTCCATGGGATGCGCCAACAATACATGCAACTGCGACTTGACATCTGATCAATGACAAAAATATTCCCTCGTCAAGTCGCGCATACTTCTGGCAGGTGCATGAAGAGGATCGTAAACTAGCAAAGCAAGAGTGGCAGCATATCTTGACTGAAAGCAGACGCGCCGTTGTTTGGTCGAACGAGAAGCTCTCAAATAATCAGTCACTGCGTGATTTGTGCCTTAACAGACTCCTTTAACGTCATGCGGCCCACCTTCGATGCCAGAGCCGCACATGTTGCTGCGGTGTTTCTGGTGGCGGTGGCGGTAGTGGTGATCCTACACGGCCTGCCGTGTTCCGAAGTCCTTGCAAATTGCACCAGTCAACATCGCGTGGGCTCAACAGCGAAGCGGCCGCAGTAGCGCCTGTTGCTCACTGGCATCTAAATCTTCTGCCTGGAGTGGTCTAAAGTGACGAATCTTCCTGCCGTGTCAAGTCCATCTTCTCTCCTCAGCCATGAGGAATTTCCTGTCATGCCAGTCCAACCAGAACTTCGCGAAGATTCTCTGTCTGCCGCGGCCACATATGGCAGGTCCTCCAAATCAGAAGCTCGATACGACAACAGCGCAGAAATAAGCGGGGCATGACGGCAATAGCGTCTCTTCTGGCCATGTGCACATTTATTTGACGGCCGCGGCCGGTGCGCGACCGTGCGCGTGGAAAAATTAGCTCAGCGGCTGTGTGGGCGCTGTAAAAGGTTCTTGTGTGAACGCCTCCCAACCGTCTTCTGACACCATGCTGCAGCTGGCAAGCCCCTCTTCTGAAGTCAGCAGCGGAGAGTCGACGTAGCCACATGTCCCAGCTGTACCTAGATGGGGCCCCATGCGCAAACAACGATAATCTTTGTGTACATGCCCTCATGCAAACTGCAATCGAAACCTATTCGTCCACCACAATTGGCAGGACGCCAGATGTGGGATAGCATGTGCAAAGAGCTCTCTCTCTCTCTCTTGCAGGCTCTGGTTCGTCAGCTGCTGCGAATTCACCACTCAATTCAAGAAGTGAAACTCACGACTGTCAGTGCACAACCACTGGCTACATACTTTAAACACCCAATCGTCAGGAACTTCATCCAACAGGATAACGGGAACGAGATCATTTGCAGTGTAGAACACACATTATGCAACACCCCGGCAGCCATGGAGCTCACGAAGCCAGGCACAACCTCCTTGAGAGCATCTGATAAAACAGCAGCAGCGCTCGCTGCCACTGATGTCCTGTGATCTAATACCCACTTTAGACATCCCAATGCTTTTTTCACAAGCGGTGATGACCGCATTCCAGGCGATTTCCTACAATTTTGGCTTCAAGAGGCTGCTTGTAGCAATGGCGCCACAATATGCCAAAAAGCTGACGGATCTACGAATAGTTTGATGCATCAGCAAGAGTGCTTTCGTGTCCAGGTTGCTCTACGTAGAGTCTCTTGGGGCTTGGCCTGTCTTTTCTGGCTCAAGTTCCTTTGTACCTGCCACGCTTCCCTGTGAGGCAAGGCCTGCAAAAAAAAGAAAAGGCGGGTGCCACTGCTGCGACCTGCTTTAACTGAATCTTTATGCGGCCCCCCGTGTGTGACGAAGACAAACGCTTTTTATAGGAAAGATGCTCGTATGTACATGTGACTAGCGCTTTGCCCAAAATCAATGAATCAACAAGCTATGCCAAACAGTGTCACTGCAGCAGTATGGATTTGCTGCATTTATCTGTCCGTGGGGTGGTCTTCGAATTCAGCACGTTGAAGCAAAGCCATTGCCAGGATCCAATCACCAGATCCTCCAGCTGCCGTAATGGCAGAACCATGCTAACGGCGAGGTGGTCCAGAACTTTCCAAATGAAACATGAGTGATTGCTCTTTTAGAAGATCGCCCCCCATGTCCGAAGTGCTCCTGGACGCTACTGAAATCGGAGTGTAAGTTGGACTGAACATTGAATGACTTTCGATCGATCGGCTCCAGACCCTCCAGCACTTCAGCAAGGCAGCTGACTGTTGCCCTTTGTGTGGTGTGGAGGCATCCTCTGTTTCTGAAAAGCGAGAGGCCTGCTTAAAGGAAGGCGCAGTGCCAAAGGACGTGTTCCAACTCTCTTCAGTCCTTTCAAGCCAAGTTGGCGCGGTCCTGGCTGCAGAAGTCCTGGACATCGTGAAGTTGACGAGAAGGAGAGCCATACCATAGGCACGTTTGTCTCGACCTTTCCCAGTGCATGACCAGGCTTTGTGACTGCTTTGGGAGATCACGCAACGGCGAAAGCAACTACAGTACAGATCAGCCCCTGTCGGATCTGGAGTTCTGATGCAAAGGACACCGCTTGGACCGGGTGCACAGCTCAGAATTTTTGTCTGTCGCACATGACAGTATTCGCAGGTTGCCAGGGTAACCTTTGTGCTGTACACCTTACTTAGAAGACATAAGAGATCAGCCTAGACCTTTGCAGGACTGGATTTCTACAAAATCAGGACTCAGCAGGATGCGGGGAAAATCTGCTGAGAGCAGTTCAGGACTTGGATATCCTGTAAAACTGAAATCTACTGGGCAGAGTCGAAACATGTCGAAACGAATTAACAGCCATATGTGAGACAACTTCGGTGCACAAGACGCTGCGCTGAGCTGGCAGCAGTATGTGGCACACTGTTCTGCTAAACAAATTGGCGGAGCCTCCAATCCCAGGGCATGCCCCGCCCGAGTTACAAACTGCTGCCGGTGAGCATCCGTGCGCAACCAGCAAAGGGCCAACTCGACCAGCCCCTGCCCGTAACGGCACTTGCAGCACTCTAGCAGCATAAAGCTCCATTTTGGAGGGAAAACGTATACACACATCACCCAAAAGGGCGCACCATCTGATGGTGAATTAAACCATATTAGCCTCGCAGATAGCCAGATGGCTACACACACTCGTGACAGCTCACTGGTCTCACCGCTCGGCTCACCCGATGCTGGTATTCGGGGGCGGCTAGGCGATGTCATGTGCATCTTGACCATCAGAATCCTGTGGATGTCTCAGGGTCTTGGCTGAGCAGGAGCTAAAGCAGCGAGGCACTCACTCCTTCCCTTCGAAGATCGCCCTCCCACTGAGTCTTCTGGCTCTGGGACCCATGATGCCCGAGGTTGGCATGTTGAACTTGACCTCGACTTTTTGATGTAACCAAGAGCAAGAGTCGCCAGATCGTATTCGCAGCTTTTGTTTTCTTAAAACTTGACTGCTGCTGAACAACTTGCAAACTTAGGCCCCTGCTGCGTCTTCCTTTTCTGGCGGGATGAAGATATGGTCATCGGGATATGTGTCGCAAGTCGACTGGGCGGCCAAGTGTTACACAACGTTGTGATTGTATTCTCCCTGGGGGAATTGCAAGAAGGCATGCGCGGAAATAGTTCATGCAAGGTGCCAGTGTTGATAGTGTCGATTCAAGATCATTTTCCAACTTGGCAGGCTTGTGGCATGTTCCCCGCATGGCCAACTGTAGGACTAGGTCTTCTTTGACCTCGCTTCCGACATGTCCAAAGAAGGTGGTCTGGCTCAGGAATGGCAGCATGTGCCTGATTTGCAGCAAGGGGCTTTATGATAGTGGTCCAAAACTTCAGGTGCACCTGCGAGCCAAATTTGTGCAGTCTTTTACTTCCGTCATACAAAGGCAGGTGTGCCCAGCCTCCTGCAGAAATACGACTGCTTAAGCTTGCGATTTGATGCTGGATCATCTTCTTTTCCTCATCATCTCCTGGCTCGCTCGGCCTAACAGACATGACGTAGTCATCAGCGTCCGGGTCATAATCAGACTTTTTGGAAGCCGCCGCGTGCCGCCGAGCAGAGAAATTGTCCTACGAACCAGTGCGGTTCAAGAGTCAAATTACGCTTCAGTTCTGACCGTTGGTGAGTTAATTGCAGTGGGTCGTGCAGTTTTCCTGAAGAGTGTGAGTCTTCTTGCCTGACTGCTTTCAGGGTTTTAAGGCGAACCTCCATCGGAAACAAAGCCTTGACAAAGCTACTGCACGGGTCTGCAGTAAACTAAACTCAGAGTTGACATGGCCGCATGCCAAAAGTCTGGCACGCCTCAAACTGGCCATGCATTGCATGCAATACTAACTAGCTTCAGAGCCTGAAGTTATGCCAATCTGGGACTATTTTGCGTATAGCCCAACATTTAAGGTCCTGCACACTACTCTTTATTGAGCTGGCGCATTCTTCGTCCTCACTGAAGTCATCATCCTCGGAAAATGTCAGTTCAAGGTCGTCGTCCTGAAAAAGCTCACGCAGCTCTTGGCAAAGCGTGAGAAACATGGCCAACAGTCGAGGCTACTGTTGTTTGCGGGTGGCAGCTGACAGTACCACACCTGCAGAACCTGCAGAACCTGGTTGGAGCCAAACCGCAAAGAGCTTGTGATCGATGCTCAGATTACAGATTACAAGTAGTTCGTGAGAACGTTAATTACATGCATTAGCTAAGCATTAGCTCAGGCTCCGCCTTGTCTGCGCCCTGTGACATTTTCGCTTGGAGATTACTTTGCCCCAAGCATCTCCTGAGACTAAACATCTGAAAAAATCGTTGGAAGTTTCCAGGTTTACAACAATGTAACTTCTTGTAATATGTGAAACACAGGAACCGCCTGAGTTTGAACCTGACCTGAACTAATGCTACTGCATGCTGCAGGAGGCGTCAGCAGCTGAGAAGAAACACAGAAACTGCAAGATCTGGCAACGCCAGGCTTTTTTGTATGCCGTGCATGAACAGTCTGCAGCGCCCACCGGGTTGTGGCACGCTAAGCGGTGAGAAGGAGTTCCCACTGGTTGATAATGCAGCAGATACCTGAATTATTCAACTTTTTGCAGCTGCCGAAGGACTTCAAGAAGCTCAGGAGGTAAAGCCGCCTCCGCTTCGAAATCATTCTTCTTCAAGTCTTTGCACTTGATGCGACGGCAGTGCAGGAAAAGACGTCCGCATGAAGGCACGGCAGAATCATGCCTCCGAACCCGGCAAACAAGACCGCAGGATCGCATGTTGCAAAACACAGCATTGCGCAACCTACGGCGATCCCATGCGCTACATGCCGGCGAAGCTCTTCATTCCGTAAGTCAAATCGCCGACAATCGGGGCACCAATGCTTGCCATGTGAACCTTGCACAGGCAGTCAAGCCTTTCTTGCTTACAAGCCCTGCTGAAAGAGTGCAACTCAAGCAGCGCGAATCTGATGTGTTCTGCCAGTTCGAGGGCGTGCAACGAGCAGAGACAAGGTCCGATTGGTGGAAGCCCCGGCATCATATCTTGCCAGCACCTTCAGCCAAACAAACGCTTGGTCAACATCGGTTCCAGAGGTACGCTTCTAGGTAATGTCAGATAGCTTTGAGTGAAGCAAGTACTCAGGCAGTTGAACATGGCTCGATAAGTCGCTTGGTGCCTGACCCTGCTTCCAAACCCCAGGAACTAGCTGGGCTGCTCTAGCTTGCAAACAGCAATGATGTTGGATGATGTTGGTGCTTTGCTGTGGCACGCTGCACTTTGATCCATCTGACCCAGTCTTGCACGGCAAGCACCCTGCACACGTAAAGAAAAGCCGCGAAGCGAGTCGCACAAACCCTCGCAGGAATTCCTGGGCGGCAATGCCATGCATAGCCGGCACAGTCATGCTGAATGCCTCGTACTCTGTCACTGCTTCCCGCCCCAATGAAGAGACTTCAGTCCGCAGCTGATCTCCTCAGGAGTTCACAGCGCAGAAAATGCAAACACAATTGCTCCTAAAACTTGCTTCCTCAGAAAGAACAGGCTTACGGGATGCTGCAACCGACGCAACCGGCAGCTTGCAGGGGGAGAGGAAGTGAAGGCGGGTCACGCATCGTTCAAACGGTTTGATATTAAAATATCCCTGGCTGTCCATTTTTTTTGCATCTTCTTTTTCTTCCGGCGCCAACATCTTCGACAATGCATGCACAGCTTCTGCAGAGCCACAGTAGGCGTGAAACATCAGCCTTTGCAGTAACAGCCACAAAAAGGCATGGTGCTTGAACGACGCTCCTGGCAGAAGGTTTGGGCTCCGATTCACGCTACGCTTGAGCACATGCTTTAATGGTTGGCCAAAGGGCGCAGAGTTGCGCACCAATGTAAGCTCGTGATTTTCCGCCTGTCCTCTGGTAAGATTCGAAACGCCACGCATCTGTGTCTCCATTTGCATGTGTTTGATGGCAAGTGGCTGCATGGATGTCTTGCCAAAACATCCAGTGACTTTCGAGAACCAGTGCGCAAACCTAATTCTGTAACTTCAACCTTCTTAACATTTTTGATAGCGATATGCACGAATCCTTGCAGTGCTTTACAAGCCGAGGTATGGCTCTGGTGGTGGCACTAGCTTCCAAGTGCGATTGTGCTAGGCTGGCGCTCCCGATGGCAACCAGTAAAGATGCCACGGCTCTTCGTTTGATCGTCTGCAAAGGGGCATTGATTTTGGCGGTGGAGCCCACGCGTCCGACTGAGCAGCCTTCGACCAAGCAAAGGTACTCCTGCAGCCGCAGCAAGGTGCAATTGCCTACTTTTCCACAAGAATCTTGCGCATGCCATTGTTTACAAGAGCTTGTGCACACACTTAGCGAGATGTTAGGCTGGCTGACACCCACGTCTTGTCTTCGACTTGAAAGCCTTGAGCACCAGTCGCGCAGCAAATTGAGCTTGTAGCCAATTTGCCGCCACTGACCCCTCCGGCCCAAGCGCCATGGGAAGCACACCTGGACAGCATGACCCTGCTTCACGTGATCGAGATAAGGATACAGGCCGTACAGTAGATCTCACATAATCTCCCACTCTTGGACCTTGAAGGGTGCAAGACTGTGTCTCGGCCTGATGTCGGGTGGTCCAGGCGCGAGACCAGGGTCAGCTCCCTGCCAGAAGCTTCCGCCACGCTGTCAAACAAGTCCTCCGTCCTCGCGTTGACAGGTGCAAGTCCATTGGACATTCTTAAATAAAGCTACTTTTTTGGGCCCTTGCCCAGCGGCGCCCCTTGTGGTCCAGTCCATGTTTCGCGCGGCTGAACTAAAAACGTTCATCAAATGTGATCGCGGAAGAATGCACGACGAAGGCGTCCGTGGCAGCAGGTAGGCGGCGTGCAGGTGGTCCATCGTTTAAAAGCTCGCCACGGACCATGGTTGCGCGCAGCCGGATAAGCTCAAAATCTCGCTCAATAAGTCTCATGTTCACTTTTCGACTCTTTGGGCAGTTGCGCAAAGGCTCACCTGTCGATTTCTTCGACAGTTTTCCCAAAGCTCACTGTTCATTTTTTGAATTTTTGGATGACTCAGAAACTTGTTTTTCGGCTTTGCGGGCAACAGTCTAGAAGCTTACTTCAAGCTTTCCATCAAACGCATTCTGCATGTTCAGGCAGTTTTGGCAAAAGCTAACTTCTCGCCGTTTCGAGCAGTGTTCTCCAAAAACCAGCTTTTCCACTTATCAGGTAGTTTTTGCAAAAGAATATTTTTGACTTGTGGGGCAATAGTCTAAAAAGGCGACAATTTAAGAAGCACTTCACCTCTTTGGGCAGCTTTCGCATAAAGCTCACTTTTCGACTTTTCGTGCAATGGTCAAAAAGGTTTCACCTCTCAAACACTAGAAAACCGCGTATCGACCTCCTGGGCAGTTTTCGCAAGAAGCTCACGTATTCGACTTTTCAAGGCTAGCCTCACAAACTGAACCTTTTCCAAGAAGCTTAACTTCCCGACTTTTCAGGAGAAAAATGTCAACAACTTTACATCTTTCTCTGTTCTCCCTGACTAATGTTCATAATTGTTCTCGATCAGGCCTATGCAGCACTTCCAAAATCGGGTCGTCCAAATATGTATGTGTATATATGTATGTATATACATGTGTGTGTAAATTGTGTATAACACAATAATTCTACGGAAGCCTTCGGAATGCTAAGTATTTCATTATACTTGAAGCGCTGATCCTTGCAAGCACTCAAACTGCGCTGATGGTAGAAATAGACACCATACAAGTAGCAGTCGTAATCTTGTGCAATCTTAAAAGATCTTAAAAAAAATTGGGTTTTGGTGTGTGTGTGTGTATGTAGCGCATGGGGGTGTCCACTAATGGGGGCCCCAATACAGACCCTGACTTTTTTTCTTTACCATAGCCACCCCAAATTGGGCGCCTGACCTTTCGAAACCCTCCATGTTGAAGAGATTATTCATTCGGTGTCGTGAGCAGCAGCACAAACAATCGTATGACATGCCTGTGGCGTCCTTTCAACGGAGATTCATCTTTCTACTGCTTTTTCATGGTTCCATGCTAGCTGGGGGAATTACATCCTGCGCGCCTAAAAGACGTTACCAGAGTCAGTAGCTGAATCTAGATTCAGGCCCCATTGGGGCCATAATCTCCGCAGAGAAGATCTTGTGATCCTGTCAGGTGCTACAGCCTTCAGCAACCTGACGCCTCACAAGAAACAAAATCGCAAAACTTCAGCTGCACGCAACACACACATGGGAGAAAACAAAACACACAACCAAACACACCCTCAAACAACCATCAAAACAACACCACTACGAAGACACCCAGAAACCAAAACCGAAGGGGGGGGAGCCGGAGACAACAGGAAAAATATGCAGTCCCAGTTGTTTCGCTCACTCAAATTCGTGCGAGAACCACTGTACAGCACCCGGACGAGACCGGAATGCAGGCCCGGACGAGACCGGTACCTTACACAAACTTCCCACGCTGCGCGCGCACCACACACCCATCTCGAAGCAGGTAACAAGCAAGCGCGGAAACCAGACAAACTACACAGAGCGTCTTAGCGTCTGTGGGACTGATTACCACCCTGCTCAGGAGACTCAGACTGACGCTTCACGCCACCCTTTCCCTTGCCGTTAACCTGAATCCCGAGGTCAGCCGCCACATCCGAGCACGCCTTGCCTGGACGCCAACTGCCCACACGAAACCCAACTTCCGGCCACACACCGTTAACTTTCTGCCACAGGGGCTTCAAGTCAGCGGAGCTCCACATTTCCTTGAGACGCCTCCCAGTCTCGTTGTTGGCAAAAGTCACTACCAGAGTCCAAGCACGGTCTCCTTCTGATGGCTTCTGTGAATTGGCAACCGCTGAGATAGCATGACCAGCCCCAATGTCTTGGATGCTCTTGACCATAGCGATGGGCCCTTCAAGCCTCCGCGCGTTAGCCTCCGCAACCCTGGCCACCACCGCCCCGTACACCAACACCTTGAGAGGGGGACCACGTTCAGCCACACCAGTTTGGACATCGGCCTTGCCTTCACTGTACTTGCGCAGCACATCAAGCAACGCCTCTTTTGCACGCCCAGCGACAAAAAACACGACCTGCAATCTTGCACGACGCATTTCGCCAGAGTCTCGACTTGACTGCATGGCCAGCAGCCCGACCCTTTCGACCTGGTGCCGCAACTGCAGAATTTGATCTCCATGACCTTCAACCGCATGTCGCAAATCACCATCATCCGTCTCATTGGCTGCACGTGGGCGATCGCGGTCTCTACCACGATCCCGATCCCGCTCCCCATCACGATCCCGACGTCCCCCATCTCTAGGACCACCCGTCATAGCAGCAGCAGAGATCTACAGGTTACTTACGACCTATGGCTCACGCAACCGAAACGACTACAGACACATGTTCACTGTTGACGCACTGCAACCTCAAAATCACGCAAATGTACAGCACTACGATGTCTCTTAAATGTTAGCACTGTGGCCATGTGTGGTGCAATCTCCTCACCCCTTGCCAAGCATAGAGGGCACGGTCCAGGAAAATCATTTTCAGGGATCTCATGTGCCTCCGCCATATGCAACCGCAGCATAGGCTCTCCCGGAAACACACATTTGCAATGTGGACACGTCAACGCTGTAGAGTTTTCACAGTGGTCCCTTGCATAAATGCTGTGTCAGCTTAGCTTGCCGCGCAAACAGACGTGGACATGACTCACATTGACATCCATACTCCCTAAAAGTGCCTTCTGGGTGTAGGCTTCCACATGTCTTGACAATCCGACTTTATGTGGGAAGTTTCTAGTCAGATTGTCAAGACATGTGGAAGCCTCACACCCAGAAGGCACTTTTAGGGAGCACGCGTCTGGAACTTGGAATTTTTAGGAGTTTTCCAGACTGCTCCATGTTTAACACTCTGGGTACACTTCTTTGGATTTTTCGACTTTTCAACTTTTTGTGACCCTTAGACTTTTCCACTATTCGGCGCTTTTCAGGAATTTTCGACTTTTCGGGATCAATTAGACTTTTCGAATCTTCGGGTGGTGTTCAGGGCTTTTCGGAACCCTTGGACTTTTCGATTTTCAGCGCTGTTTGGGACATTTCGGGATTTTTCGACTTTTCAGAACCCTTGGACTGTTGGCCTGGAACTATATGTGGAAATATTTCTTTTCTGTTTTGGAAATGATTTAAAGCGGCCAGCAAATATTCTAGGGCACTGACATAAGCAATGGGCACTGACTTTAGCAATCTACTTCGATCTTCGCACAACGTCTCAGGGAGTGCTTGGTAAACCTAGCATGCATGGTACGCGAAGTCGAATGTGGACTTATCGTGCCTCATCGCGTTTCTCGCCTAAATCCGTCAATCCGTCCATGGCCTTCACAGCCACAGGATCATTTCTGTCAGAACACCATCCTGAAAACGCCATCGTCGCGCATCACAGCGCTCACTGCCGCACACGTGGGTGTGCAGAAAGCCGCACAAGCGCCCAACTCGACCGCAAAACAGCGATGATCTTGCACTGCCAGGCCTGCTGGAATTCCTCCGCCATACCGGTGCTGGATATTGCAAAAACCCTACAAGTAGCGCTCTCACACGATCCACTCAGCGCCTGCAATAAAAGATGGAAGACCGCAAAGGGCAGCCACGATTGTGTTCTTGGCTTCACACGGTTGTCTTGAGCGGGCGAACAGTTGGGCGTAGTCCGACGACATTATGCTGACGCATGGGTTCTGAACAGTACCATTGTGCCGTCCTGGAACCACTTGGCTTCAGAGCTGCAACGATGCCAGAGCTCGAGCTCACAATGCACGAGGGATCAGACCATTCTGGATCTACGGCCCCACCAGTTTGTGGACCTTAAAGCGATCCGACGCTGTCCCTCAAATGCTTGATATGTACTGGAGATGAACAAGCAGGTGGACAGAGTTCCGCTTCCCTGTTGCTCAACCAAAAGCTTGCCAGACTCTTGTCCAGTGTCCCGATGCAGTGCTTTTGGTCCAGAGGTCTAGGAACTCCTCCAGAACATCCTGAGGTTGCAAACTTCGGCGGCATGATTTGCTTCTTGATAATATTCTGCCACTTTTGATGCATGCACGGCTCAAGGCATTGACCTATCTTCGGCCATGCCCCAACAATACATGCAACGCGCTCCCTGGAAGAATCAGAACTGCAGCCTGAAATGAAAAAGGGAAAGACCTTTGCTGCCCAACCACCAGGGCCGCAGCTTTGCCTTGACATTGGTTCACTGCACCGGCCAGCGAGCCAGCGATCAGTCCAGTGGGCAGAAGCTGTTGCAACCTCTTTGGCTCAAGAAGTTTACTGCTTGAGATGAATGTAGCCTGGGTCATACCAAAAACACAAGAGTCCAGTAGAATGGGGCATGAAGCGCAGCCTGCAACCATCCATCGATCCTCCCCACAAAGATAGGAACCAAAAGCCGGACATACAACATATGCTCAAAATTGCACACCAGGTCACAGCATCTGCTGAAACAGGTTAAGGGCAGACCTCCACGCGCCTGCAGAGTCACAAGCGCTCATTGCAGCCCCATAGCTTGCCATGGTAGGCTGCAGCGCGTCATCCGACATCCTTAATTGGCTGCTGCACTTCGTGTAGCGTGTGCTACTGACATCTCCCTTGGCAAAGGTCCACATGCAGTCCAAGCAGCTCAGACATCATGGACAGTATTAGTTCCCAATCTCCTGCTTTCTCGAGAGCAC